AGGCTTTGGAAGCTAATTATTTGGCTATCCGGATGTTGCTAATTAATAAAAATCATTGAATCCAATAGTTCTTGAAGAAAGAACAATTAAAAGGTACAACCATTGTCCTTGCCATACATTTCTACTTTGATTTGGAATCTCTTTTTCTGTGAATTCCTGAAAGGATGAACTTTGTTTTCCACATGCTAGGAGTCCGGAAGCCTAGCCTGCTAGGAGTCCGGAAGCCCCCTGCCCTGCCCACTAAATACTCAAATCCAGACAGCACTAGCAATACTGTTGGAGGACCTGCAGCATCCTTTCAGATCAGTAACACACATATTAATAGCTGAGCCTCTGCAAAGAATGATGTGATGTGAATCTGTAAGTTCATGACTCCATTACATGAAATACCTCATACACCAGTCCTGCAAAGAAAGCCACAGCTTCCTGTGTTATTTGCTCTTATTCTCAACAAATATGTGGTTTATGAGGAAACTAATTTCAAAAACTAGATTAAAATAGAGAGATTTAAAGATCTTCGCATCGGAAAAGCTCAGACTACCACCACATAKTCACGTCAGGGATGTAGTGGGTTCAACATGGGGCTTTTCCATCSTCTCCTTAGGCTGGCTATTAATGGCAAAGCACGGATATTAGAGCAGCATGGAGGTGAGCAAAACAACCGTGATAGCTGAAGAAGATTTAATTACTGGCAGAGTGAAGTCTGTGCAATGGAAAGGTCTGTGGGCAGTCAGTGAGTATCGCTACAGCACCAAGCATGCCGGAGCCCTCGTGATGGAAGTGAACAAGAACAAGAACTTGCCTTTGGATGATACAMCCCACAAAGTGCTCTGCAAAAAACAAAATCATCTTTACTGCCAATATTATATCTCCCTGTTTTCAAGGGGAAAAAAGGGGGTATATTAAGCCAGCACTTGCCCTAGCTCATTTTATGCAGTAGAGCGTATRCAGTTCAATAGACTGGCTGCTCTTCGTTTTAACATACAGAGGGTGCTCCTAAATATAGCACCTAGAAAGAGGTAGTTATTGAATGTTTGCTCCATTGTGCTCAAACTGCCATTATTTCCCATTTCCTCTCYTTTCTGTCGATATGAAATTACCATTACAAAAAAATACTAAACCTGTCAAAACTACAGCATTACAACTGAAAATGTTTGAGCGATTGCAACAATGCTGGATGTCTAAACAGTCGGGAGCTCACATCCCTCGGAGCTCAGCTTAAATCCAGGAGCTGTATTTGGCCTTGGGCGCTCTCCTCATCGGGAGGAAGGTCCTGCTCCACTCAGGCCTATCTTAGCTCTGATTGAGGTCAACAACATTAGGGCCACCCAAGGCAGGGAGTGGGTTCAGAGGGCAGCAGCACAGCCCTGGCTCCAGGGTGTTATGCTCCAGATAAACCCCACTCCAGAGACACAAAGGCCTTTGAAGGGAACGAAGAGGGACTTGAAGAAGAAAGGAGAAGCCAGCTCGTGTGAGAAGAGCTAAAGAACRAACAGGCTTTGCCATAATTAACTTGGTTGTTCTCTATGATATTTTCTCTTTGAGAACAAGTACTTTGCCCTTTGAAACCCACAGCACATGGCGTCCTGCGTTGAATAGAGCGTTACGTGTGAACCACGAGGTTGCATTGATGGCTTAGAGCAGTGCGGGTTATGATGTTTGCTTTGGAGAATTAGCAGATGTGATACAGCCATGACAGAATGAGGTTACTGCAGAAGTGACTCATTGTTGAATAATCAAGTGTTTACTCTACCAAAACTGCACGCAATTGGACTGTTACCGTTTTCCTGCGTTATTGTCAAGATGGAGCTTTTCAATGGCAGTGCATCAGGAGGAGAAAAGTAAGCTCCTTAGATGGCTTAGATCTCTTTTACACGTGTGTTTCAAGGCAGGCAGTCTTCTAGCTCTCAGCCGGGAAAAAGAAAAGCCATTGAGTACATCAGTGTAGATATACAGTAATGAAGGAAGGGCAATTAGTTCAAGAATAAAGTAACATTCTTTCTTGAAGTGGGACAGAGAAGTATTTTTGCAAGAGACCAGAAAGAAGAAAGAGCAAGTGATATTCTTCTGATTTTTTATATAGCCTAACCAAGCATCTCTGTAACAATGTCATGATCTGAGAAATCTTGAGCCAACCATTTCTCTAGACATAATTATTTTTTTCCTGCACTTTATTGTCTTTTCCAGCCTRATTTTTCTTTTACAAGGACGTAATTTGAAGTCACTCATGCTTTTCTTGCACAAGGAACAAATGATCAGATCTCAGATATGTCCCAACTAGCAAGAGAGACCAGCTGGAAGAGCATCTCCCTCCTCTAACTAAACAGGGAGCCCAAAGGTTAAGGTCTGTGAAAGGTCCTAAAGTTCACATAGCAACGTGAACCCAGATCAAAGAGACTTTGGTCTCTTTGAGGCCTTTCCTACACTCACTAGGTACACTGGATCACTCACAGGGCCTTATCTGGCTATTGGTTTAGCCCTCTTCACCTTTTAAAGCACAGAAAAAGAGACGGTGAGATCCAAACCCTGGATCACAGCCAAGTGCTCTTCTCTTTATGAAGTTTTAGTGCTAACACGAACAATTAACAGACACTGACTTACGCTCAACYGATGCTCTCACTGGGTACACAGCCTCCCACAGGATAGAGAACAGYTCACTCGTTGGAGGCCCGAAGAAGAGTTCACTAACACTGGATACTGAAGCTTCCAGAAAAGTTTCAAAGTTTCGACCATGCAGATGCATGTCCCTTTTCACGCATGCTCTTATGGAGGTGTCAAGCCATCATCTTCCTCTTAGGAGCTAAAAYTCATCAATTTAATTAAAGTGACATGAAGCCGTGTCCAAGAAGCAGAGACACAAACAAGGAAGTACCAGAAGAATTTCTAAGGTCTGTCTGCCAAGACGAAAGCAGCAGATTGCAGCTGTTCTAATTCATTCCTTACATAGTAGTTATTGTGCTGTTCTTCCATCATTGCAGGTTGTAAAATCAATTAACAGATGATTATAAAAAGAAAAGGCCAAGTATTTTACTCGCCTGAAATATTTCAGGGTTCACCTCATTCACGTTAGAGTGCCAGCTTAAAAAAAAAAAAAAAAAAATCAAACCAACTACTTCACTTCTAACATACTCTAAATTACTTTGTTGTATAGAGACCCTGGATTACATCAAAATCTTTATCAGATTCACCCCTCTTCTTTCTAATAATACTGGATTGCATATTTTGGCCTATGCTGTTCCATAATGCTGTCAAGGAAAAAAATCAGCTCTCAGCTGTTCCTGTTGCCACAGTACTTGTTCCTATACATTCCACACACTAGATGTTTAGTTTCGAGCTAGAAGAAGATCTAATGGCCGTAGGACCTCATGCCATGTGTGTGGATGGGGGAAGCAGGTAAGACCAGGTGGGTGGGAATAGAAGGGAAGCCAGGGAAGTCCTTCTGGGCCTTTCTACCAGTCCAAATGCAGCAGAACAGCTTGTGGTGAGGAGCAGCAGTTGCAACGCTACCCCAAAACTGACAGGTGAGCTAGCGCTAGTGAACTAACCAATGAGCTGACCTTAATGTGGGAAATATATTGTTGCACATAAGCAGCTTTAACTCCTCGTGGACATGGTAAATGTAGAGGCGGCAAATGGAAAGCAAATCAATCCTAGCTTCAGCCCAGATAAGATCTCCAGCCGTGTTTATATGGATTGGTGTCTTCACCACTCTACATGTATGTGATGATGTCCCACACTCTCTGACCCTCAAAATCCTGTGTCACCCTATTCCCCTTTTCCAGGTGTGGCTGCGTTAAACGCAGCATTCAGATGGGGCACCTTACCAAGCCAGGCCCTTACTGACAGCAGGGCTTTCTGTTGGTCTCTAGCTTTATTGGAATGATGTCCTCAGCTGAAGGACTGAAGCAAATAGGGTGTTATCAAGAAGTACAGCAGCAACGTTCAAAGTGACACTTCTGTTTCACCAAGGCTGAGGACACCTGCTACTTAATGAAAGGAAACAGTACATGTGAAAATAAAGCAATAAATACATAGAAAAAAATCATAATGCATTTGGAACCCTCCAATTAATTAGCACTTATTCCCTCTGCAAAATTCTACTTCATTTATATATATGTTCATTGCAACAGAGTGGTCTAGTTCTCTCTTTTTTTTTAATCTCAGATCAAGCAAGAGTTCTGCCTATACCAGGCATATTTACAGTTGTATTGTCATCATTTTTTTAAGTTCTGACTAAATTTCCAACAAAAAAAGTATTTTTTTTCCCCTTCAAACAATTGTTCTTTGAAATCTTGAAGAAARCATCTTGAAAAGATGCCTGTCAGGATTGCCTGGCTTCAAAAATTGGTAATTCATTTTTTGATKAGTTCAATTTATCAAACACGAGAATTTTCTAGGGATAATTTTCTAGGGATAGTATCCCCATCCTCCTGAAAACAAAGTATTCAGCGCTGGAAAAGGACAAACCTTTGGGAGCAACCCTACAACAATAAAATACAAGATTTTTTTTTCAAATCGCATTACATCCTTTCCTAACTCCATCAAATGCTGTTTTAAACCAAGTATGACAAATGTCTTAACTGAGCACTTCATAGAAAAGACACTATAGTTTGTCTCACACACGCATTTAGAATATATATATATTTTTAAATATGTGTTACCACCACTGCTGCTCCCCAACACCTTTGCTAGGCAACTCCCACTGGTATCTCACCACCTATTCCTCTACTTTCCCACACCCTCCACCTCCTGATTTTCAACTGATCCTCACAGTGTCATTAAAAAGCGTTTCTGCAGAAGGCAGAGGCAGCTTCCTACGTTTGCACTGGGAAGCCCAGACCCCAAGTCATCAGCATTGGGCACTGGGGTCGGAGGGGCCCTCGAAATCTGATGGACGTGACCTCGAGTCCTTAGCAGGAGGCTATACCCTAGTGATCTGGGGTGCCTCTGTTAGCATTTGTTACCATTTCTGCATTTYACTTGGCTTTTTTTCCACCCAGACCTCTGCTAGCCAACGCTTCCTTGGTTGTCCCACCAAGGCCTTCACCCTGAGGCCTTCTTTCTTCAGAACAGTCCACAAGTGAAATTCCAATTCAGAGAAAACAGCCCTATCTCTTTTCTGCCAGCAAGGATTTTACGCTTGAATACTGCAACTAATCTCAAAAGCTATGTTTGATTGGCAAGCAGAGATTAGATATTTTACACTTTTTATGAATAGTTGCAGGTACCACACTTCTTCAATGAGAGTAGCAAGGACACACCAGCCCAAAGAAACAAATCCATCTGACAGTGGACTTTGACACCTAACTGCAGCTGCTCACACTGAGAATTTGGGCTCTAATCCTTGCTCTTTTGGGTCTCATCCACCTGTCAGTCCCTTTCAGCAGGAGCTTCCCCACAGCTGCACTTCCTGACTCCGAGACACTTAGGATCTTTCCATGTACTAGTTTCTGAAGGTCAGTGCAGACACATTTTAAGACACAGTGCTAAGACAGTGTACGGAACTACTTGGCAGYATTTAGCTGGTACAGTATCTTACGGGAACAACAGAATTCCAAACCACACCACATCGAATGCTTATGGGTCATTACAAGCAAAAATCCCAAGACACCAGGAATTAAAAAGCGGAGTTCAACAAAGGAACACTGATATCGTTGGTTGATAAGAACMAAGCTGTGCCAGGTCTTCCCTCTTCGCTTTCTCAGGTGGAGAAATGAACTGGGAAAGGAAGCAGAAGGAGGAGAAAAAGATAACAAAGGTTATTATAGAGTTATCACCGTGCTTATCTCATAGAAGCGCGCGCTGTCTGTGGCAGCACCTAGACACTTGCTGCTGCAGGAYTGAAATACATTTGAAGAATACATACACACATATATATATACACACACACACACACCCTGAGAACAGACACACTACTGAGCCCAGTACACCAGCTCTAAATGAATTTAAATTTCACCCAACTTATACCAACAAACCCCACAGCAGTGAACAAAAGACCTGGGGTTGAGCATGTGCCGCCCAAGCTCATGACTCAATAACCCAAACCCAACCCAAGCCATGCAAACGTGCTACTTGTGTAAGCAATAAAACCAATCCAGGAGCAAAGGGTTAACTTCCAGGGAGAAGTTATGAACCATTTTGTCTGCTCCTGACTTTCTAGTTAGGGTTCACACGATGCCCAATGCTACAAAGCAGCCAGTTTCATGGCTGCACATCTGTCTGTCCAAGCTGTCACACTAGGACTGCTGAGGGGAGGCCCTTCTTTCCCCTGAAGCCACTAGCCTTGAGCACCCAGTTAATATAGTTAATTAATATCTAGCCATTCCTCATGCTTGCCAGAGTTATGAAACCCTAGGATCGTTCTGGGACAGTTTGGTGCCAACATTCATAAGCCTAATCAGCTACCACATGTACCTCAATCCATTAAGTCGTGTTTACAGGTGATTCCATAAGCCTCCTTCACAGAAATAACGGGAAAAGGGAAACATGCTGCAGATGAGYGTGTAATCCGAGAGTTGGGAATTAATACAGGTTTGCAATATAGCCTCCTGGTGAATCTCTTCGGGGCTGCTGGCTGTGCTGCGCAGCTCAGGGAGCCTCTCTTTTAGGAGTCAATGCCATATTGCAGTTATGTCACATAATTACAGTTGTTGCTAACGCTGAAGTTACATAAATCCAATGTTCGGTTCCTGTCATTAYGAGATCCCTGGCTCACAACCAGCATGACTCCTATTATTCATTCATGGGCTACCTTGGCTACAAACGTGCAGAATGAGATGATCCCTAGAGGCAAGAACTCAACGGCTTTGGGAAAGATTTTCATGATAGTTACCTATTCAAGGGGCAGAGGGATCTGCAGTTCCCTCTCAAAACAAATTCCAGCTGATTTAGTAGGAACTAGGCAGCTAGGCACTTGGAAGAAATGTATGAGATGGCCATTTGCATGTGGGATCTCACCCTCTTCTGACAGCAATGAGCTAATTCAGGGATTACTGTTCTGAGAAGCACTTGGATTTTTGAAATAATTCTAAGTAGAATGTTTCAGACTGCATTAAAATATATATAAGCAAGAAAACAGGAATCTYTAATATACAGAAGAGTTATGTAACATACTAATGTAAAATACATTAAATGTCAAGAAATTCTACCTATACAAGCACCCAGGGAGCTTGCAGTAAGTCTCACTATAACAGCATGACACCAGAAGGTTTTCAAATTAATCAATTGCAGCATTTAAAACCTGCTTTGCTTTCYGTTTTCTTTTCCCTATATTAGTACCTGTCAAATCACAGAGCTACTTAGATGATAAATGCAAGAGAAAAATAAATTACTCACTTATAATTATAATGAGAATGACTGCGCATACTACACCAAGGATGATCATCATCTATAAAAAGAAAGTTACAAAGTTACAAGAAAAAAAAAGAAGTCAGTTTTCACATAATAGACATTAACCTCTTTATACATATACATATATATATATTTGCTTTTATTTAGTGGTCCATTCATTCTGCTTTTATTTCTGATAAAGACTCACTGTAATATATCTTTTGGGATCCCACAAAAAAAGCTACAGAGTTCTTGGCCATCAGCAAAGCTGCAGGAACTCAACTTCCTCCRTTAATTCTCTAACTTAGATCCACTTCATTAGGGACTATTTGCAAACCTAATCAACCCACAATATTCCACCTTGCTTTACATTTCATAACACCGTGGGCTCAAGAGAAAGCAGGCAACAGACAGGCAGGGGAGAAATGTGTGTGGCCTCCTCCCCTGGGAAGAGGAGGTCTCGGTTATGTGGACACGAGGGGTCAAGCAGCAGAGGCAGCACTCAAGGGAAATGGCAACAAGGCTGAACTTTCAGCACTGTGTTCATGTGTAGGTGGTGCATGAATAGAAGGAAGCAAGGACATGGTCCCTTGTGTGAAGGTGAAGTTTCATGGGCCAAGAGATATTCTGGRGGAGGTCTGAAAGGGGAGGAGAAAATGGGGCTTCCTCTGCTCATGGGGAAATGATGAGGCTTTGAGGACAGACAGGGAGAGAACCAGTCAGTTAAAGACCAGCTCTATCCTAATCTGTCCCTCCTCAAAAAGTCTCCCACTCCCTCATTTCTCACCGTGGTTGTGCACCCAAATATTTTTTGGTAGCTTACTCTGTTGTGAAAGGGCAAGAGGCTGATCATCTGTCACAAGGACAAGGCCTCTTTTCTGCAGCTTCTAGTATCCACTACCCCCRTTCTGGTTTTGTGCTTCAGACAGAAAGCTGACATGAATCAACAGCACAAGTCATACATTTGCATCCCTACATGCAGACACTGAGCAAAGAACCAAAAATTGTACAGAGATTTTATATACTGCACAAATGATCTAAGAATAGGTTCTGGTAAAGATGAGAGCTTGGCCTATTATCCAGCAGCTTAGAGGGCAAGGCTTTGGGCTTGAGATTGCTACCAGCAATCTCTAAACACAGGCGAATGAAGCCACGAAGCAAGAAGATGAATGAATGAATGAATGAAGAGAAGCTCTGTATTGTTTACCTTGCAATTTTTCCACCAGTATTTCCTCTTCAGCTTGGCTGCACTGGTTTCAAACTGCGAGGCACCAGCTTGCAAAGCATCTGCCCGGTTGTCGAGCTCCGACAGCTTCTGGTCTCTTTCTAGTACCTTGTCCACGTTCATTCTTATGATGCCTACCACCTGCAAAGGCAGAGCCCCACATGAGGTACCCCTGCATGGTAAAGGCAAGGGAATTATATGTTCACATTCTGCAATAAATTAGACCGAAAACACCTCGTTGCCATTACGGCAAATATCATGCGACGGCAACTACACAGACGTTCCCTCTGTAAACACATCTGGAAACACACAATGAGAACAAGATCAACTAGTTAAACATACGTAACACTAAATAAACACAGTTGTACTGCAGGCAAATGCCTTAAAGGTTAAAAAAGGGACACYATAATATACTCCAACTACTTTCATTAAACATTTTGTTTTCATTTAGCCTATAACTTGGTGCTTCACTGTACAGATACAGAAAACTGTTGGAGATCATTTCCTCTACCGCAGTTTTATCAATTCTATCAATTTATTCTATCTGAAAAAAAAAAAAACCCATGTGCACAGCCAGGACACAGTGGGTAATACAAATATTCTATACAGCTGTGAGGAAAAATCCTTCTAGCAAATGAATGGTCCTGAACAGCAACCCTACCCAAATTCATCACTTGCCTAAGTGTGAGATGACACAGCAACCTCAGTGAAGTTGTGAATACGGTTGATGATGCTTGTAATAAAAAAAGCTCGTGTTATTTGGATTTAATATAATGTAACTATTACGTACAAAAGCTCAGAAATATAAAATAAGTATCATATGAATACAGTGAGGTTAAACTGGAAATGAAACGCTCTGGAAGGACTGGCAAATGCTGTTCCAAAACTCAAGGTCAAGATGAAGAAAGYAGCGTAACATTTCCCACGTCTTCTCTCTTTCTCCTATGTCCAAAACYGCTTGTTGAAATTAACTCAAGTGCAGTGAACATTTTGTCCTGATGAGACTGTATTTTTGTCCACTACATGTATTTCCACCTGGTCTAAGACCAAGAGCTCCACGATGCCTGGAGTACTCAAAGGGAAAAGCCAGCATGGATACACCTGAAAGGTTTGAGAGGGCTCACAGTCATTTCAATAAGGCCAGAAGTTGGCCCTTAAGCAAAGTCTAAATGGCATGGCTGAGTTTTGGGCTTGGATGCCTTGCTGCAGAACAGCATCCCAGTGCTGTGCGCTGGTGTTTGGTGCCACCTACAGATTCCTTTCCCACAAGACATGAAACAAAGTCAGGAAAGATCTGTAGTAAGGTCAAAGCAGTACGCAGCAGACCAAAATCCCTATGTGATAAAAACCTGCTTCATTCACAGGACTTCAGAGGACTGGCAGTCCAATAGTGTTTCCCTCTCTTTGCTCCTCACTGCAAGTTTATGACTGATCTGCCTTGTCCTATTAAGCACAGACCCGCCAATCATGTGAAACCCACTGAAAACCAAACCATTAAAAACTAGGGTGGAGAAAAACGTGGATCTTAGTTGTCACCTGCATAAGCCTCAAATCCAAGAGCTTCTCACTCTCCCCTCACAATGGGTTAGAGTTCCTGCCGAAACTACTCCRTGAGACTTTGTAATAGGACAAACCTGCCTGTGCTTGAGGTCTCAATGATCAGAACTGCAGAGTGGGCTGTTCTGAAGGTCTCATGCATGGCCCTCRGTGGGAGGCACATGGGACCATCGGCTTGAAGATCCCTCTACCTCTGACTTGCATCACTCCTTTCAAATAAAACCTTCTTATCCTTCTAGGGACAACTGCTTTGGCTCTAGCTCAGGTAATTGCATCACCCTCATGATGTAATGCACTGAGAACATAAGTTTATTTCATTATTCTGACACAAGAGAAGCTGAAATGTAATACTGCCTTGTCCACYGCAGTGACACTCCATTAACATCAAGGAAGTTACACTGATCTATAAAAATGAGTGATAGTAAGAGAACTGGGCCCAGACATTTGTGCACACAGAAACTCCTGTGATCAGCTCCAACTACCAGCAAAAGAAAAGCCAGGAAGACTCTGTTTTGACAAACAAATCCTCCAAGAAACGAAGTACCACAATATGACAGCTAAATTTAATTAATCTTAAGAAAGGAGCCTGAACTGGATGTTCTGAGATCTTCCTTTGTGTTTRCATACACATACATAAGGCATCTGAAACCACAGGCCTTTACAGAAGAAGCATATGGCTCTTTTCTAGTGTGTATTTATTGAGCTAGCACTAAAGAATCACACAAGCCCTGGCCATTTCCTCAAGTGCAGGAAGCAACTAGTTACTTAAGTGTTTGTAGAGGGCTTTAGCCAAGCTCTGCCCTTGATATCCAGCACCTAAACACGTGCAACATGTCAGGTGTGCAAGGACTCTACAGCTCCTTCACCACTGGTGTAGTCAGACTRCAGCCACTCGGCAGTTGGAAGGATGTCAGCATCAGAGCCAAGGTGGCAGCRTTGGGTCATGTGCATCTTAACCAGAACTTAAGAACCATGAGGAGACAGGTGCTGCTTCAAGCTCAGTCAAAAGCAGAGAGATTTGTGGATGGCAGCCACGGTTGCAAGATCACACTCAAGTGCCTCACACTGGGGACCAGTTTGGTTAATTAATCAGCAGAGCTCTAACTCAGGAGCCCAGTCCTCACCCCTAAAAYGTTTGTGGCTTCCACTTACCTGTGAGAGAGGCTGTCCCTGTGGAACAGTCTGGGAGATTAGATGGTCGCACTAGGACACTTCCTCCCAAGCTGACAAATAGGAATTCCAGAGTCAGCACCAGTACTTATTGTGCAAAAATGCTACTGGTGCAGGGATGTTTGTACGCAGAATATCTGTTGCACTATCTTGCCTCCAAATAAATGTCACCCTGTAGTAAACCTCACTTCCTAGATCCACTGCTTTCAGACAAGCAGAAGTTGCTGGATCATCAAGGTAAGGCAACTATCTTAAAGAATTAAAGAAAACACATCAGCACCCTTATGGTGAGCAACAAATCACCTGGTGCCACTCACCTCATCCACCTGGGCTTGTGTCTGCTGCATCCGTTTGTGACTTTGCCCACCGCCAGCAGAAGGCAGCCCGGCACCCCCAGCACTGGTGGGACCTTGGGTAGGAGCTGAAGCAGACCTAGACCAGAAAACATAAAGCACATAAACATCCAAAACATAAAAGGGGACTGAAGCCATCTTTGCTTTGCCATTGTCTGACAGCCCGTATTCTTCATGTCAGGCTCCCTGCCCTTGTTCTACAGAACCCTTCTGTCCCATTCCCTCCTACCTCACTGTTATTTTTCACACTGCTTCTTGACAGGACCATGTTAAACCCTTCTCATCCCTGTCACCTYTCCCTCTCCAAACTGGAGCAGTTATTTTATAAGCAAGACCTTCTGGGTTTGGACCCAGGTGTAGGGCAGCAGTTTGGCTAATCACCAGGGAGGAAGCAACAAGCCAGTTCAGATTATCCACCCTGTTAGGCAAGTGACCTAATTAGCCACAGGGGTGACGAGCAAGGCACAGCTCAGGTCCCAATCACTCGGGAAGAAGGACCTGCTCAAGGTGTTTTGTGTCCMTGCTACAAGGTGCCAGGGCTGGGACCCTAAATGTCACCTTCTGGGCTCCTCAGTGCCAGGCTGGAAGCAACCAGGTAAACCAAGATAAAGAACCAACCAAGATAAAGAAAGAAACGGAGGAGGAACTGGGGTTGAGAACCACACTCAGCACAGGGCTAGTCATTCCAGACACTAGGTAAGCCTTAAAAACCCCACCGGAGACCAYGGAGGGCTCCAGCAGGAGACCTGGCCTGGTTTAGACATCTGCCTTGGAGCCCGGGCCAGCGTTTGGAGCAAAGCTGTGAGCAGAACCCAGGTCTCCTGAGCACCAGCTCTTTTGTCAAGATTCAGCACTGACCGCCCCGGTGTTGCTGTGAAATAACAGCAAAACAAACCAGAACACSAGGTCCCTGGGGACGCAAGCGCAGCTCTCGCCGTGACGGAGCTAAGCAGGCCAGAGGGCCCTGCTGTCGGGACGCACACCAGCAACTCCCCTCCTCTGCCTTTCCAACCGGGGAAACCTGCCTTGCCTTCCAAGGGGATCCCTGCCACTGCTTCCTGYAGGGAAGTAAAACCCTCCCTCAAACTGCAGAGGAAATCCCTAAGCATTTGAGCTGGCAGATATCACAAATCCCACTCAGGCATCACCACCGCCTTCCCACAGTGACAGACGGAGGGAACACAGCGCTTCTCTGTGAATCATCCCCTCCACACCTGGGTCTGATCAATGCTCCCGGAATCACGGGCTCCTTAATGCATCGTCGAAGGCGTGCAGGCACCTAAAGCTAA